AGGATTGAATTTGAAGCTTTGAACACTTCAACCCCTTGTTTTAATTAGTTTAAGTAGTTTGCCTCTACAATAGGATAACGAGAATTATAATTAAGGGCACATGCATACATGCTGCATAACACATAATCCTTAACCATATATATGTCTAAAACAAGCAAAACCCCTTTTCCACGCATTAAGCCACTCCCAACTTCCTCATCAATAATGGCGCCAAACTCAACTCTTTCTCTTTTACCTTCTATCTATCTATCTATCTATGGCAGCTACATATCTACAAAAATACTTCAATCGAAATGGGCTTGACTGAGTCTCAAAAGGCAAGCCAGGAAAGAAAAACCAGTACTCTCTTTTAATTTGCACTCTTCTGTCTAGACATCTTTACTTACTAACCCAAAATTTCTCTCTTTCACGCCTAACCATCCGATGCTGGAATGCACAGCACGTTGTCTGCTTCTTGCTTCTGTTTGGCTGCTTCTGGAGCTGCTGCCGCCACTACTAGCCCCTGGACTTTCTCTTCTGCAACCGCGTTTTGTATCCAACACGATGGTGCTTCCTTGACAGTATCAATTGTATTCTCGTCGCATTCAAGTAGCTCCCATTTTTCCTTCCTCAAGTTCAGAATCTCCTTATCACCATCCACATACAAAACCTATAACATTGGACACACGAATATGAGCTGAACAGAATGGTGGGTGGTGAAAGAACCTATCTAGAACCCACAGAAAACGTAAATAAACCAGTAGCTAGTAGTCACCAACCAGGTGCCTCTGGCGACTTGGATCATAGCTGTGCACTACTCCTTCATAAAACCTGCAGAAGCCAAGGCAACAAAATACACAAAGCTGTATCAGAAAAATCCTAGTCTAGCATGTTATATGTGAGAGAGAGACCATTTTTGTTTTCTTATTACAATTATCACTAACCTTCGATCTTGTGGCCACCATACTCGGATGCTCTTACCAATCAGTCCCTCGACTAGACCGTCAGGGGCTCGAGTAGCCTGCATTAATAACAATCTCTTGATTCAAAAGCATTTCAAAATGTTCAAGCTAAAGAAAGGAATATCTCAGAAGCTAGCATTAGAGCTTATATATAGTTCGTACCCACCTTATCTATTCGAGTGCGTTTCCTCTTCTGGTTGGTTTCAGGGGTGCTAAGAACAGTTGTCTCGTCCTTCCTTGGCCTGCCACGAGGCCTTTTTTCACTTTGAATCTTTGCCTGCTGATCATAACCTTCTTCAGATTTCATTAAAGACTTTGGCTTTCTACCCCGTTTCCTTGGAATACAAGTTTGCCCACTATCCAACTTGACATCAGACCCACCATTGTTAACTTGTCCACCAGTCACCTGCCAAATACATGCATTATGATGAGAGAATAAAAAAAAATATTGAAGATTGATACAACTGGTTGTAGCAGAGCAAGCATACCAAACACTTTATGAGATGATTGTGCTGAGGTGGGTGGTCCCTATCTTGGCAGATATCAGCTACTATTGAGGCATAATCATCCAAAGCTATGCCGAGAGACTGCACAGCTTCCTTGAGACGAGTTTTAAGTTTAGCAGCACAATTAGTCATAACTTTTTCGCCAAGCTTCCACTCGTAAGGATATATACTCTGTAAACCATAGTATAAGACGGCAATCATGCACATAAAACTAATTCTGTGTGATAATCAGAATCCTGGTAAGAGGAAAGAAGAAGGAAAAAACAAGAACCACCACCAAAGAGACATGCCTGATTGTCCTTTCTTATGCTAGCTAGTAGAGGAGTGAGAATAGCTAGAGACATCTCCTCACTTTCGTCTATCACCATGGTCATAACGGTTTCCATAGCCAATAGTATATCAGGTGAATGGTTGGACCTTATTATTCACAAAAAATAAAGCATATGTCAGTGATTGCCAATGAAAAATGGAATGTAAACCTTAAGTGAAAAAATCAATCTTTCTTTCTAACACCACCAACTACCGAAGAAGAAAGTGATCATCCGAAGGAACAATATTATCAAGAACTAGTTCATCCCAATGAGGCAATGACCCAAGTGGTCAAGCTGTTGAGAAGAGCTTATGTATGATTATTATATCATTTCTTACACATTCCCCCAAACAAAAGCCAACTCATATGCCTAACTCAACAAACTTTGCTCCTAAATTAACTGCTAATACAGAGAGTCGTAAGGATTTAAAAACGAGACGTCTCGATTAAAAGTTCTGATACCATGTCAAAAACCAGTTTATCCCAATAATCCCAATTATTGGGAGAGACTTATATCATCCCATACAATTCATTCAAGTAAATAAATTGCGTCATCCAAGAAACGATACTACAGAAGAGCAAGTCAAGTAATCTATATGACGGAAACAGGTTACTCTGAACATTTTTTTTTTTTTAAGAAATGAATAACTGGCTGAAGGTTCTTTATATTCACAACTGTTGTCAATTTGAGAACATGACAAAGAAGTGGCATGTGAAGAAGAAATTTCTACCTTACAATTGTCAGGAAGTGTTGGAACATATCCAGAATCAGTTGATCCACCCCTAAGTCCAGCATTACCAAGCATGATCTGACCATTGCAGCAGTGTTGAGAATTGAAACTGCCTTCTTATAATAGGGACCTGATGGATGAGTTAAGTGCTGAAAAGCTTCAACAATTAACTGAAACAGTTCCTGTAACAGATCGATTGCATAATGTGAAAGCTCTGTCTTCGATCTATTAGTTTGAAGAAAATGCATCGACCTGGCAACCTTGCACTGTAATGTCCATAAAAATGGTTTGTTGAGTTATCTAAATGCTAAAAGTTTGGTACCTTCATGGGTTCATCACTGTAAGGAGCACCAGGTGCTGTGATTCTTGTGATCTCGCTAAAGCAAGACGCAAGTGAAACCCTCACATCCGTATTTGAGTGCCTTAAGAGAGCACTTGAGATCAAAGACATCAAGATAGGTAAGAGTGCATCTCGAATGCGCCTTGAAGGTGCTTGCTCAACTTTTATGAGCAAACGCTCAAGACTCTGAAGAAAACATTAAAAAAGAAACAAAAAGAAAGATCAGTCAAGTCACTGTGTCATATGACCATGACACTACTGTAAGGAGTGAAATCCGAAGTCTTTCTTGCAAGGAAAGATAAATGCAATATGGGCAAGTTGAGCAGGTCAAGCGCAATGTCATAAAAATAACCAATAACTCGAATTGTTGAGAGAGATTCAATTATATATCATATACACCCCTAAAAACAAAGCCAACTCAGAAGGGTTTCAAGTTTGCACAAATCCGGACACCATGTGCTTAATAGAACATATAAGGATAATTGGGATTCAAACAGAAGACCTCTCGGTCACAGAAAGCTTTGATATCATGTCAAGAACCAGTTGATCCCAATAACTCGAATTGTTGAGAGAGGTTCAATTATAAATCATATACCGTTTAGTAACCGTCTTCACTTAAATTGGTTTATTCCAACTCATTCAGAAAGACCATTTGTTACTGTTTTCCTTGCAAGGAACAATTTGTTGCTGTTACCATCTACATCTGAAGAAAGTGAAAACAATCTGGAACAAAACCACTTAAAGAAGTGCCAACAAATTAAAAAAGTCATTACAAAATCCCCAGTCAAAAAATTAGTTCAGACTCGGAGAATAAACAAAATTCCAAGCGAGTACACTGACTCAACAGTAAACTACAGCACAAAAATTGCAGAGCATGAGATTAAGACGACAAATTCTTCTGCAAACAGTCGCATCGATTCAGTAGTATAATAAGTTAACAGAGTACCAAATGCAGCATTCAAGGTGACAATGGAAATTAAACACTCAATCATGCTAAAGAAAGGGGGCGTACGTACGTCAAGCAGAGAAAGGATATCATGGTGGGACATAGAAGGGCGTTGAAGCAAAATTCCAAGCTCCTTAAGCTTCTTCTCAATATCAGTCTCAGAGACGGCCATTTCCAAGAACACTCTGCTACAAACCCAAAAAAGAAAAGAAAAAAAATGCGCCCTAACAGAAATAAGCACACCCTGAAAAACAGAGAAACGAACCCCACAAATTTCTCAACCCGCACTACCGTTTTCCAGAAGTTGAGCCGAAAACCCACGTTTCATACCCACCAGGAGGAGACGAATCTGTGTTTTCTTTTTCTTCCCGGAGCCGGCAACAAAGTCAGTGATTCAAGCGCGTTACTTTAAGGGGTCTATATTCCAGAAACGTCGCCGGAAAGAAGCTGCAGGGACCAAAGCTGAATGGCAAATATGCCTCAGGTTTGGGGCGAAATGCGAATGGCTACGCCAGAGTAAAATCCCTTTTCCGCTGTTTTCTTTCCCTGGTCTTGGATTGTGGGTTTGATTCAGCCTTTTTTTATCTTTCCTTCTTCCTATTTTGGTTAATGGTCTCTGGTTTGCTTGCCTGCCGGCGTTCCATTGGCGTGTCAGATTTCCGTTTTTGGCCAGAGACAGTAAATCAGTAATGTGTGTGTGGGTAGTACAGCTGTACTGGACACTCTCGGCAAGGAAGCTAATATCGGAGTCTGGTTCGGCTTTCCAGTTACCCTCCGATATGAATTCATGCAACGTCAGGTGCCACCTCAAAAGTTGCTTCTGGGTCCTGGGGACAAAATGGACTTTTCTCATGGTGCAAAATGGGAGTTTGGAGGACTAATTTTATTTGTTGTCACACTCCTTGTATAATTTGTATGGTAAGATCAATCTACAATTTGTTTCTGAATTCTGCGCGACAAACGTGCTTTTTTGTGGTCTGGTACTTGAAAGTTTGCAAAATTTCAAGAAGTAATTCTGAATTTCAGATAAATTGCCCATAAATTTCTGAAAAACCCTAAAATGGTTACCAATTCAAATTTCTCGACTAAAAACAATTCAAGAATTAAGTTGTTCACGGATTGTAAAATCGTATCCAAAAGTAAGCTTATGACATTAAGCTACCAATACTAAGTGAATCCCTTGTCTTAAAACTTTCTACCATTCCAGCTATTCATACAGAAGGAAAAGGTCACCTCTTTCCTCGAACAACCATCATTTTTACTTTAAAAGACCCTGAAAAAAACTATACCAGAATTCGTGTGTGAAGTGCATGCTCGAATAATGAGAGGCATAGGTAGAAAGAACAGTAGCTGTAACTGAGGAAGTATACTGGGAGGGAAAGATTAGATAGTGAAAATTTCCAGAAGAGGAGACTAAAGCAAAAGAAAAAATGAGGCCAATCTCCATTCATCCTGCGAGCTATGACAAGGTTTCCTACATGCTAATTAGTGTGACTTTATATGCTGTTGAACGATATTGAATGCCTCACTCTCTTCACCGTAATCCTGCAGACACGAAAGCAGCAACGACTCAACTTGAATCCGGAAACAATCGAAGCTGGTGACATGAAAGCATCGAAACTAAATGCTTTACCTTCACAACTACACAAGAGCACCCAACAACCTTCCTCGCATTGCCTTCTGAATCGATTTTGCAGAGCTGCAACAAGATACCCTCTAATCATATAAGTTGTCCCCAACAGGTGTTGAGGATATATTGATGAGGAGGAGAACAATAATCATAGCATTAGTATTGCTAAGGACATACTCCGGCCCATTCACCGAGGGTCTTAACATTGGGAACGCTTAACAATGCGACTCCATAGTCAGCACAAAGTGCCTTGACGAGCTTGACATAGTCAGCCTGGTTACAGTCTTCAGCTACTACTCAAAGCTGAGCAGCATGAGCCAAAGACTTCCTGAGCACTAGCTGCAGTGCTTCCATCAAGTCCATGGGCTCACCAGGAGCTTGTTGAGGTGTTGTCTCAACTGCAGCGACTGGAGCTTCTCCGCTGCAAGAAACAAAATTTTAAAACTGATAAACAGTCTATGATTACACACCATCTTCCTCCACAATAAAATTTCAAGGTGAAATTGAAACTACCATCTTTCTTGTTCAGTAATTACTCACCCTGACATTTTTGCTTTGGTGATGTATATAACTATTCTCCAACCTGAGAAGCAAAGAGAAGACATTGTAAGTTTCAAGCAACGAAGCACCTGCAAATTACCATAATGTTGTATTCTTCATTTTCAGCCGATCACAGATCAGCATGGCGAGAGCAGAACACCTTTATCAGTAAAGAAAATTTCCTACGACTGATCGATTCATCGAACTCATTCTTCCCTTCAGATGCAAAAAGGTTAGACCAGTGGCTTACAAACATCCTCTACTACCATTTTGCATGATGGATCGTAGTTTCAGAAATGCCAACATGAAAGCACCTTACCGAAATCGATCCGTAGCAATATGCAATCAGTTAAAGAAGGGATTTGGGCAATTCAGCAGTAGTTCATTTGGATTCATAGATAGTGGATCACTTGAGAAACAAACAACAAAGCAACATTTGACGAGTTCAACAACTTAGTAGGATGAGTTCACCACAGACCAAAATCAACCCGCCCATCTACCTGAATCATCTTACCCACAGCAATACCAGAACTTTCTACTGCGAATTCAGACCTCCGACACAAATAGACACAGAACAGTAAATGCGGGAAAGAAGGGAATACAGATTGATGAGAAAGGAACCCTCTCAATGAAAATTACGGATCCGAGGAACAGAAACCCCCGCAGGCCGCAGAGCAATTTGCAAGGGAAACAGAAATTAAGAGTCTAAAACAGTCAATGCCTCCGGTCAGAATGTGGCAGAGTAGCTGAAGAATGCAGGAGGCTGAGAAGGATAACTTACGGAAAAGGAGCTGAGTGGATGAAATGGTGGCGGGAGACAACTAGCTGGTTGCCGTTGGGTGGGTCAATGGTGGAGCAAGATGAAGAACAGAGGAATTATGATTTTTGAGGAATGAAGAACCCTAAACCCCCCCTTTTTCTTAATTAGTTAATTCCCTGCAGGATTGCGTTATTTGTTTAGCGAGGTAAAATTGGGCTTTTGGATGCTTCGGTCCGGATGAAGATGATCGGGCTTGCCATCTTTTGTAAAATTTCACTAGGCCCATGGGCTATAGCTAACTATCAACACATATTATTAAAGGTGAAAGCCGAAACTCGTTTATTCATTTCAAATTTCCTACACCGAGAGTGAAAATAGAAGGACATTTTTATCTTCACAACTACTTATTTCGTTCTTATTTATTCATAATAAATATATATATGGGAATTTGAACAATGACCACTTTTAAGAGAGATAAGGGTTACAACCAATCACACTACATATATTTATTGTATCTTTTAAAAGAAAAACATACACAAACCTAAAATCTCAAAAATCTGAAGACTTTTTCAGTGGTTAGCTAGCAACTAAAAATCTCATAAGTACTTATTTGGTGATTTGATACTTCGACTTTCATATTTTTTATTATTTTAATTGTATTTTAATACTTAATTTATATTTCAATCTACACAATAAATAAAAGCCAAATGAGAAAACTTGAAGCCCCATTTCAAATTTCCTGCATCCAGAGTGAAAGTAGGAAGGACATTTTGGTCTTCACAATTACTTTTTTTTATTCATTAAAAAGACACTTACTAGGATTCGAACCATGACCATTTTAAAGAAAAACAAAGATCATAACCAATCACACTAAGTACATTTGTTGTATCTTTTTAAATTAAAAACATATAATTGCAGAGAGGAAAAAACTCTTCCCCCATTTAAAATTCCCTGCTCCAGGAGCGTTTGTAGGAAGAGTAGAATAGGGAGTGTCAATTTTTTTCTTTTTCCTCTGTGGAACGGGCCAACTTACCGTACACATGCGGATTTAAACGGGTCCAAGAGTGTCAATTTTTTTCTTTAAGTCCTTTTATTTCTCCATGGTGGTAAAATATATATATGAAAAGGCAAAACCAATACTCCTTTTTATTGCTAAAAAGAAAAAAATTAACAATAAATTAATGCATGGATTCTAATGGGCTAACCGCTAATCATAAAATAAAAGAGTTGAACGGGTCTGACCTACATGGGATTTGCCCATCAAATAAAACAAATGAACATCATGGGTTTGCCATTCTAAAACAAGCTATTTTCTCTAGCATAATATATACTATGCTATTATTTTATATCTTAGTGGCTAAAATATAATGTATTTTAAAGTTATTCAATGGTTCAACTTCGACCAATTCAATTAGTCCAATTTTTATCATTTCAAATATATATTATGTAATTATTTGATATCATAATGATTAAATTATAGTGTATATTATAGGGAATCGGTTGGTATTTGTTAGTAAAAAACTAAACAGAAAGATCTATTTGGTTATTTTTAACATTAAAACGATCCTAAACATTTTCAGTTTCCTTTCGAAATTCTATAGTTTTATTCCCGAATCAGTGATGTGCAGATGGTGAATTGCAGTCATCTCTTTTCTTTCATTATTTTTTATTTTCAAATATAAAGTTTAAAAGTAAAGAATAATTAGAGTTTGGCATGGGTCGGTCAAACAAGCTGAATTTCAAGTTTTGGCCCATTTTGATCAAGTCTAATTTATAATCACATGGTTCTCTGATACCCTATAAAAATCTCAATCCAAACCAGTTTGGCAGGTGAGTCCGTGTTTACCACCATTTTCTAGGGATACAGGAACGGTGGTTCCTATCCCAAATCGTGCTGTTCATTCTTGATTTCTTTAGATTTTATCATGGCTTGGCAAAAAACCAGAAAGCACAATGATGAGAAGATGAAAGTTTTATAAAGAAAATTAATCGGCCAACGGGCCGAGTAAAAGCTAGCAACGATTGTGAGATGCTCATTTCCCGAAAATCGGCGGGATATGCAATTTTTTATTCGATTTTCTGGAATTCGGTTTCTATAAAACTTACTCCACCTCATCATATTACCAGAAACAATATTGTTTCACAAGGTAACATGTACTTGATTTTGGTTCATAAGACTGATTTTTTATTCGTTGCATCATTCATGTCTCTTTTCTACTAAAATTCACTATTTTTATCACGTGTTTCCCAAAAAAAAAACTATACAACAATAAGCTATACACCCCATTACATTATCAAATTTCATACCTCATCTTCGTCCGGCCAAATGGCCGGGGCGCACGCTAGTTATATTATAAACAGAGGATAACTTTAAAATTGCAACCCATATATCACTTGGTTGAATATTGCATATAAAATTAGAGTATTAAATAGGTCGAAGCAATGTCAAAATTTTAAATTAGTATTAATTTTTAGAATTAACTATAAAGAAATCATATCCTTATGCAGACTATATGGGACTGGGTTTTTTAACGTTTTAGTTGGGTTAACTGCTAAATTGTCAACATGTTCCTAATCTGACATGATTAGATCCAATGATCATTGTACGAGATTGAGCTTAATTATTGTCACATTTCACCATTTTTTTACATGTTAACGAATTTCTAGGGCTATGACATATGTCTACGTCTAAACACAATACAATATATAAGATTGGAATGAGAAAATTATTTTTCCCGTTTCAAATTCTTACAATGAGAACGATAGTATGAATGGTATATTTGCCTTCACAATTATTAAACTTATTTATTTGTAGAAAATAAACAAGTATTGGAATTTGAATCAATGTATCTTCCAAAAAAGACAAGAATCATAAGTCTGATTGTCAACCCAAGTTTGACATTGTTGGGCGAATCAGTTTTGCCCAAACCCGAGTATTTGTTAGGATGTTGGAGGCCTAGTTGGTTATCAACCCAAACTTGGTCAAACTAAGAAAACCAGTTGAATTAGGAAATCGAGTTGATTCAACTAACTCATCTAAGCAGTGAGTCACTTCAAACCGACATCATTTTCAACAAATCTAATCACTAGCTCTGTTGACATGTCGTCCTTTTCCTTATCAAAGACCCATGCAACAACATACATCAACCACGTTCGGTTATCCCATAATATCTTTTCCTCCTTTAGTATCGGCAGGCAATGATACAAGTCTCAATCATCTCAAAAGCCAACACAGTTCCTCAGTAGTCAATTCCATTTTCCTTCCAGCAGCAAGGCCACATCGCCAATCAACCACATCTCAAACAAAGAATAAGCCACAAGATTAGACGAACATATATTTGGATTGAGACTTGGTGTGATTAACAAAGACCAATGTCCTCATTTGTATACATACATGAAATCGAATTGGAGAAGAAGAGTAAGAACATTGAGAATAGAATATGATATGCAATGAAAAGAAGAAAAGAAACAATTAGAAAATGAAATGGAAAAGGATAAAAAGAAAGAGGCCGGGAAGAGATTTAGAATTAAAGCGTCATTTTAAAGTATCAGTTCCAAGTGAGAGAAAAGTATAAAAAGGAAACACAATTTCAACGAATAAGTTATATTAAATCGTCATTGTATCTCAATTTATCATAAAAATTTCATAAATATCTAAGCATAATACATGTGAAATCAATAAAATTTTCATGCACCTGGGTAAAGCTAGCCTTAACCAGATTAATCCAATTTATCCATTAATCCTTAACCCACTTGCTTAAACGACTCATTGGTGGAATCGAGTGACAACCTAGGTCATATCAAATTAGACTGAACAAATTTGTTGTATATTTTCTGAACAAATTTGTTGTATATTTTTCAATGGGTTATAGATATAATATATATGTATATCAATTAAGAACTCTATTATTCACTAATGCATGCAATTTCAGTTTCCAAACATATTTTATTCAAATACTTTTATATAACCATGAATGACTCCCTAAATTTCGCTTAGTTTTAAATTAAAAATGAGATGGAGTTAATTGATTTATGAGCTCAAATATACCTCCATACCACTAAACCTACAATTATTGTGATCTTTAGTTGTTCACTGACCTCTGCCAATGTTTACAGGTCCATATTTTGCTATGAAATTTAGATAAAGAAAATTTAAATCTCACACATTTAAAAGTAGGAGATGGAAACAATGTAAATAAGTGATTGCAAATTTACTATTTTGAAACCCAAAACTGAAGAAATTTAGATCATCTCATTTCGCAGTAAATTAAAAAGTCTTATGGGAAAGTGATACCTTAGCGTTGGATGTGGTGGTAAATGAACAATTAATGCCAAACGTGGCCTAAGAAATTCCCTCCACTATGAATTGCAAAAAAACATCATTCCCAAACCCAATTTATTACCAGTCAAATCATATTTGGTAATATCACTTGAAGGTCACTCATACCAATAAACGACTATTTAGTTTGAGTCTAAATTAGACATATTACATTGGCTAAAAAAATGAATATCAACTCTAATGTAATTTTTGCAATTTTTTTTGTATAACAAACATAAATGTGGAAACACCGATAATGAAGGTGTGAATCGGTTTAATGTGAATAGCTAGATGGTCGATATTTCTTTATAGGTATAATTAGATGGACTTAAACAAATTCAAATTGTGAGTTCGACCCAAATAAATATTTTTCTGCTCTAACTCTCTCCCTCATTCCATAATTATAGTAAATTAAAATGCCGGATCAAAGCTAGTTGGTTAGATATTGTCCGATGAGTACCAGCGGCAGTGGCAGACTAGGCACTACCAGTAACATACAAATAGGAATTAGGAACTAGCCTAGACCATTTTATAGCATCATAATTTTTTATTTTTTTTATTTATAACTCATGGAATTCTTTAATTAAATTGCATCTTCATTACAATCACTTTGTGATCGAGGAAGCTAGAATACATGAGGTCTATCAAATCAAACTTCGGTCTCTTGTTATTCACAAGCAATTCTTGTCTTATTGCAGTGGCGAAGTCATGATTTAAATTGCCTTCTACTTTGTTATATAGTATCGATACTTTAATGTACAACT